AATAAGGAAGCAAGGGGACACTATATTGGAAGTGCTTCGTCTTATAATATTTCCGTCTGTGAGTTCCTTTAATTTTTTCTTAAATGGTTCCATTAAAGATAAGGGAACTGAATATGGCTTAGTATTGATTGGATTTTCTGACTTAAGGTTTATTTCATGATAGACATTTGTAATTTCACCTAATATATTTGAATTTTCTATAAACTCATTTACTATTTTTTCAACGGAATGTTGTATAGATAAGCATTTTGCTTTTTCAGCAAGTTCGTTATCTGGGTCGGAAAGATTGCTAGTAGGTTGACTAAATGGAACTACAAAATTACTAAATTTAAGCCTTCCTGAACTGAATAAAATGTCGGGATTATTTTTACCGAAAAAATTTACTCCTAGAATTATATCATTTACAAAGATATCTGAAATCAGAAAATCACTTGTAAAAATTGTATTATGATGTTCATTAAAGGCTATTTTGACGCCTACGAACTCGTTGATAGTTAAAATATTTCCATTCGCGACCTGTAAATGCACTGGAACTAATTTTTTTCAATTTTAAGATTAAGTTCGGTCACCTTTTGTTTCGACATAATATTTTCGAACGACCCTGAATCAATAACAAATAGTGTTGTAATATCGTTAATCTGTCCAGTGACTTCAATTCTTTGTGGAACTATTGTAGTTTCCTTAATTGAGTACACACCTTTCTTATTAGTGTTAATTTTAGTGCATTCCTCAGTTGTATGACCACACCACTTATGATACTTGCAATATTTATATTTTGGAAATTTTCCATTCTTGGGCTTTGAAATATTAAGATCTTCATTTTCTTGGAGTTCTGAGAATCTTCTTATTTGCTTTGAATTATTATTAGAAGTTTCCAAATTAGAATTTGTTTCAGAGCCTTCGACTATCGTAACTGCCTCTTCAATTGTTCTAATATTCTGCAGTTTAATAACTCTTTTATGTGTATTTATTAACCCCATATAGAATAAGTCATATAATTCCCTTTTTAGTATTTTTTCATTTTCTGGTAAACACATGTTAGCGTTATTTAAATATTCTAAAAACTTATTTAAATATTCTTTGTTTTTCTTAAAATAGAAATATTTAATATTTTCTAATTTTTCTCTTGAAAAGGTTAATGTGTTAAAGGAAAAATTGAACTTTTAAGGGATTGGATCATTGATTCGATGTCAGGCTCCGAAGCGATAGTTCTAAAAATATCTGGTGTAGTAAT